ACAGTTTATTATATTCTATTTTTATCTACATTATCAACCTGCAGTTCCGTAAAGGGTTATAGTACAACGTGGAAGCAATACCATACTCCTTAAACATAAAGCACACATATAAATCACCTAAATATAAGTCTGTCTAGTGAGTAAACAGAATAATCTCTCACACATCACAAAGGATTCTTTATAAAGCAGCCTATAAAAAGGTTTTGGAAAAAACTTTAATAAAGAGAATGCAAAGAACCAATATATGATTGAGGTGAAAAAATAATTAAATCCCATGTTCTTCCTGAATTCCACTAACCTGCTTAAATAATAGTGCTTGCTATCAAAACTCTTTGAAAGTAGAATGTGCTTTATTTTGGTGTTAAAATAGCTAAATTCAAAATAGTAAAACACTAGTATCTCTTCTTCCTTTTCTCCTTCAAGCCTAATTTATCAGCATTATAGAGAAAAAAGCCAGCCCTCTAACCATGCAAGCCTATTTTGTTGATATTTGAATACAGTTTTAAAAATAAAATGCATTTTGTTACTCAGAATTTAAGCAGGAGTTTGGTATTGTGGTAGTTGAGTATATCTGTTGCACCTCTAAGGGACCTTTCTTATCCTCTCTCAAGGTCCTGAAGTTTTTGGCCTTACGAGGGGTGACATGGATTTGGCCACATCTCTCTCTTTAGCGCAGGAAGAAAAGACAGTCATATAAGAGGTTGCAGGCAGTGCTTTGGGCTTTCTCTCTCCCTGTGGTCCCTCTTATGCTATGTACAGCCCATGATTTTCATCCTGTACCTGCCTGCTCTGCTTCTCTTTCCATTAAGAAAGCAGATGATGTGGAAGTCAATTCTCTATCTGCACAGGTAGAAGCTACTGTCCCAAGAGAATATATACTTTGCAGCAGTTGACATAAATCGTTTCCCCCTGTAGCTAAGGCTTCCACCTGAACAAGTGTACCTATGGAGAGGATACTGGGGGATGGGGAAAAGTGGTAAGGATGCCTTATGTTTCCTTCTTTCCCTTTTCAGTGACTGTCAGCTCTTGGTATTCCTCCAGATCCTGCAGTTTCTCCCTCCGTTTTCATTCTATTGCAACGATCTTCTAGTGCCAGTATTTTATTTTTGAAGTATAGGGCTGGTCTACAGAGGCCACAAAAACATGACCTGAGCAGCACAGTTTCTGCACCTATGGTGTATAATGAACTGGGGCAAAACTGCATTAGCCTGTCACGTAGGGGTTGTGCTTACAAGAAGCCTTCCTGTACGGCTTTGTTAAGGACCTGTACTCTGCAGAGCCCAGGTTCAGTGACAGTGAGGTGAGGTAGCTATCTACTTCAGCCTAATGAATGGGATCTTTTTTAGATGTAGGAGCGGCCCTGCTAGGTAGCATCTGCCTCAAGCATTATTTCCTTGATGATTATTTACTGCCTCACTGCCTCTTTCACAGGGCTGTAGCATAAATACTGCAGTCTGATAAATACTGCAGAGTACCTTTCAATTCTTGCATCTTCTTAATGTTATTCCCTGCTACTTCATTATACAGTTACAAAAGAATCATCTCCCACACTAATCTTAGCTGACGACAGTAGCTGTTGATTCTAGCTTTGCACAGAGGGCTGGCATGCCTGCTGGCATTTTTGGACTTTTCCCCTAGTCAGTGGTGAATAGCAGACATTTGTGCCTTGAAGTTTCTTATAATCTCAAATGACATTTCTCTCTTTCTTTACCATGTGACTTTACACTAAGTCATTTAGGAATAATCTAAATGAAATTTAAATTTTAAGTTCTGCTTTCTTTTGAAAAACACATTATTTAGTGGACTGCAGAGGCTTCTGTTACCTGGGCAAATATTATAGTTCCAGTAGTAAAAAACCAAAAAAACATCAGTTCAGGAGAGATCTTGGTTCCATTAGATCAAAATAGAAAATCTTTACTTACCTGAGGGCAGCAGAATGACATGCCAAATATTCTGTGCCTTTGAAAACATCATCATGGAACCATTTTTTTGCTTTTCCCCTCTGTTTGAAATACTTTTGTTGTTAATGGACTGCTAAATAAAAAAAAAAAATGTTCCAGCAACACTGTAGAGTTTTCATAATGATGTTTTAAACATATTTAATTCCCTTTATTTTCAACGTGCCCTGTTAGAAGACTGAGCATTATATGTAAATTTTCAGTAGAGAAGTAGGGTATGCGCAACTTCCCAATGTAACAGCCTATGAAAGAGAAATATAACTACATAGAGGAAGGCATATACTTTCCATTGGCCAGGTCTGAGACCCTCTTCTTCTCTCTCACCATAGTGCATGGCTGAAGAGATTCATCCTGAGAGGCAACACTAGGCACTAGGGCCAGTCATTAAACCTACAGATCTCATTTATTTTAAATAGAACATATAGGTAACAACCCATTAGGGAGGTCAGAAAAGAATTATAATGTAGATTTATGCTTTTTATTTTTTATATGCTATGTGCTGTAATTTTTCCTTCCGTTAGCATACTCTAGTCAAAGAGAAATGTGGCACAAGGGTTCTTCCCCCTCACTGAGGTAATAAGTTCATATACTAATGAAGGATCTTCTCCTTGCTTAAGAATTTACATTCCTTCTGACTCCCTGTTACATTTTGCCAGTGCTATAATCCAATCTCTCTTTTATCACTTTCAAGATTTCCTGTCTGATTTCTCTATTTGGGAGCATAGACCTTTTCTGCCTTACAGAGTGAAGAAAGAAATTAGGGCTAAATTTGTTTAGCTCTGCATCACTCAAATTTGTTAATGTTTTCAAAACAAAAGTAGTCTGTGTGAGAGCAACAGACT